CCCACTCACCTCCAGTAGCTCTCCCCGCTGAAGAGAAGCACTTTGCCGCGGCCCCGCTGCAGGGCCCCCGAGATGCGCCCGGCTTCCCTCCCGATGCCCAGCTTCTCGATGCCCCGGGGGCCCAGCATGCTCTTGCCAGAGAATACCCAGAACTGCCGACCTGCAGCCGGAGAGAGCAACGGGTGTCAGCTGGCCCCAGGGTGCCAGTGCAGCGCCAGGGTCCTCACAGCGAGGGTGGCACCAGGGCCAAGGGCAGCAGGGGTGGAGCTCACCAGCAAAGAAGAAGACCCTCTTGGTGAGCACATCCTGGAAAGCGGCATCGATGACAGCCGGGAGGCCAGGCCACGCGTCTGCAGTGGAGAAGGCGCCCTGGATGCCCGAATCCCAGAAGGATGAGAGGGTCCAGTATTTGCTGGTGGGGAAGGTCAGCCATTCTGATAATCTGGCACAGCCCCATGACCCTCCACAGCCCCAGCACACCCCCACACCCCTCCATCACCACGGCACACACCAGGGCAGGAGGTGCCGAGTGCTACTGCTCACCCATCCTTGAAGAAATGCAGCTCCCCGTTGATCTCTGTGATAGCATCAAAGTTCTTCTCCACACAAGCATCCCGGCTGGGGTCCACAGGAATGGGCTCAGCCGTGGGTGTCGGTATCTCCTCCTCCTCCTCCTCAGTGGTGGAGGTGCTGCCAGCCTCTGTGGGCAGGGGCTGGGGTTCCTCAGTGGGCGCGGGCGCAGGAGCGGTGGGCTCGGGGCCAGAGCCATGACCTGAGCCAATACAGGGGAGGGTGTGAGGCTGGGGCCAGCCCAGCACCATGGGACCCCACTCCTGGCTGCACTGCAGCTGCTCACCATAGAGGTACTGGATGCCCCGGACATCATCTGGGTCCAGCTGGAAGTCCTGGACATAGCTGTACATGGGGTACATCAGGGCCTCACGCACGCTGGAGTGGTCCAGCCCCAGCGAGTGCCCGAACTCATGGGCAGCCACTAGGAAGATGCTGTAACCTGGGGGAAAGCACCAGCCTCAGTGTCTCGTGGGGTGGGACATGACACACTGGCCAGGGACCATGACCCCGTGCCAGCACGGTACCTCTGTCAGGGCAGAAGCCCCACTTCTTGTCGGTGTCATAGTTGCTGGTGGTGGCACACCAGAGCTTGCCATCCTGCCGGCCCTGGCTGGTGCAGGCACTGTA